CCCCAAAACCCCAAAACCCCAAAACCCCAAAACCCCAAAACCCCTCTAAATTTCAACTAAATTGGCTAAATCTAATTATAAAATAGTTTAAATGGCAGAGAATATTGGCAGCTTTGACTTCCAAAACCACGATAAGCTTCCAGGTAGGGTGCTATTTTCACATTATCATTGAGTGTTTTCAAGTAGAAATCTGTTTTATTGGAATGATGAATTCTTGAACTGTATAAAACCCGAAACTGATCGTTTTTGTAGAAATTACCCTCCCTGATTACCTAGAAGAAGTAGACACTGATGAGATTTTTACACAACAAGAAACTGAGGACATGAATAAAGAGCAAGGTGATGATGTTCCTAAGGTGAAAAGGTTGAAGAAGAGAAAAAAAACAAAATCAAAGCAACCCCAAAGGTACTACTCTCAGATTCATCAAACATATTTTCTCATTGTCATTTTCAAATTTTGGGAATTACCATGATTTTTGGGTTCATAAAAGTATTCTGTTTGGCCCTGTTACAATATCTGAAGCTAAGTGTTAGAGATATTCATAATTTTGGTACAGAAATCTTGCTATCAAGAAAGATGAGAGGGATTTCCACAAAACCCTACAGTTCATAGATGGGCTAGACTCTGAGATGACTCACTTTAATCATACACAGATAGCAAAGAGCCCAGTCATTAACTACCCAAAGTATGATCTTATCTCAGAAAGCCTTGACAGGAATACTACCCAGTTAAAGAGTAAGGTTTCTGATGGATTATAATTTAATGTTCAAAATCTGATCTTGATTGTTCCCTTCATGCCCTAATCTTTTTATAGAGCACAATAGTTTGAATCAAGAGCTAAACAACCAGAAATAGCACTATAATTGGATCAGAGACTCAGCGAGCCCCTTTCTTGAACAATAACTTTGAATACGCAATCAGCCGCAATAAGAATGATTTAAAAAGTAAAGTTTTTATGAATCGGACCAGCATGGATGACCTCAGAAGGGAATATTTCAAGCAAGGCCTATTGAGCACAAAGCATGATATCCAGCGGTCACAATCCAAGAATTCTGTCAGAAACTCAGAGAGCTCAATCCCTGAGATCAAACACTTCTTCAGAAGTGATAGCAAAGAGCCTAAGACTGAAGCTGGAGGAGTGAATCCGCAGACCAGCCATATTGTAAAGTTTTCCTCAAAATCAAACTTTTTGGAAACAAAAATGAATGAGGTTGAAGAAAGGTTTAATGAACAATATTCTGAGCTAGAGGACACTCTCTATCAAGGTAAATCACATGTAGTAATTCATAGAGAATCTGCATGCACGAGAGCCATCAGCCCAGAAAATGGATAAGATTACGAAGAAACAAATTTCTGTGCTGAAGGTAATTGAAAATCATGACATTTAGAAACAATTTGATTGACTAAATATTGAATTATCTAACATTCAGGAAAAGAGGTTCTTGAAATCTTCAGAGCTTAGCAAGATTCAAAGTTCCTCAAGGAAACTAAATACCCTACTGGACAAGGTTTTGGGCAAAATTGAAAGTATCCAAGAAGACATCCAGAATGACGAAAAGTTGCTTTCAATGCATTTGTCTAATGTCTGTATGTATCAAGATGAGCCTACCGAGGCTTACTTAAAGGCGACCCTTGATCATATCAGCAAGCAGATTAGCTTGGAATCAAAGTACATTAATCTTAAGCTTGAGATGAGGAAAAAGTAAGTCAGGTTTATTTAAATTTAGCATTGAGCGACATAAAATGAACCAGATTATTCAAATAATGAGCATTGTTGTTGAACCGATCCATGACATCCTACAGCCTCCGAGTCTTAAGTTAAAGACTCACCTTGCTGAGTATCGAAAGAGATGTGAGATCCTTGAGCTTGAGCTAATGAGTGAATGTAGTAAACACATTGTGAATGGTAGTTTTTGTATTTACCTTCTTTAGAAAGTAAGCAGCCTATCGACAAAAGTTTACAGGCCAAATTTCAAAAACTCAATGATAAACTGGTAGGATTAAGGAGAGAGAAATAAAGAGCTGATAAGGGTCCTAAACCGGATCAGAGATGTTGAGTGCATTCAGCAAGATTCTTGAGTAATTGAACTAGCAAATTTATGCAGAACTGAGCTCAAACTCAAGGAGAAACTTATCACCCTAAGATATCATAAGAACAAGCTTGATTACTGTAAAGAGATTCTGAGACAAAGAAACGGAGATGTTGACAAACTAAAAGCTGCAGTTAACAAGAAGTCATTGCAGATAAATCTTCCCTATACTTACAAGAAAAGGTTCAACGAGATAGTGCAGAATAACCAGAATGACTCAAATTATCCAAAGGCTAGAACAAGTGCCAGTCAGGAGGTAACCATCGGGAATGTTCTTGACTACCTAGACAGAGTAGTTGATGAGAAGAATACCCTAAAGCAGGAGATTAAGACTCTGAAAAAACAGAAGAAAAAGATTTCAAGAAACATGAAACTAACTTACAACAAAAGTAACCCGAAGACTTTGAAAAATACCCAGAAATTTTCAGAGGCTGAAGACAGTGATGTTTCTGCAAATGATCTCATGAAGAAAACTTTTGATAAGTGTGATAATGTGAAGGATATCAGAGATGCTACCTCAGTGATGTTGCAGGGAAAGATCAATTTTACGTACAAAAATTTGCTACAGAAAGGTAAAAAGAAGCTTAAGTAAGGCCATTTGAGGATATTTTAGACGGGTTTCAACTAAAGAGAACTTTATTACAGAAGATGATGCGAAGAAGATAATGAACTCTTTTTGAAATTCAGGAATCAAGAAAGTCAAGAATAGCTCAAGGAATTTGTATAATCGGAGTATCCGTAGTACAGAGAGTTTAAAGAGTAAGAATTTGTCATTAACACATAGGTTTGGGCTCTTTTAAAATGGTAAAGAAGACAAACTGTTATGACAAAGTATTCAACCGAAGGCTGAGCAAGAAGTCAGTCAAAGGTATCACTCTTGCTAAATCTTTTAGCTCCTTCCCTCCCAGTTTCTTCATCCGCTTCCCAAACCTCTAAACCCAAAATCACACCGACAGTGGCAAAGATTAGCCTCATATCTCACCCAAACTAATCCAAATCTACACATTAAAAAACTAATTTTGTTCTAAAAGGTTGTATCTCTTCAATTCAGCTATCTTAAAGCGGGGTTTTGGGGTTTTGGGGTTTTGGGGTTTTGGGGTTTTGGGGTTTTGGGG